CCACATCTACAGGAGGCTTGAGGGTGTCAGGTCATACGCTGTGGACACTACATGTCTACTACATAACTAGTACCCCTGTCTGACTCCTCAACCAGAATGAGGCCGAAGAGAGCAGTAGTTCTGGTCTGCTTTATTCACTGGATAATACTAATACACAAACAAAACCAGTACATTTCCAGATATCTGAGTGGAACTGATGCCCTCTGCTGGCTCCAAAGCATTCCTATTCTTGCTACAAGGAGGAGCTAATACCACCAACTCTTGATCATATACTACCTCATAAAATGGTTGAACATCAACCGAATCATTTTGATACAGTGACTCTGTATTCCTTCCATTTTTTTTTAATCCTTCATCATTCCTTATTTGCCCATGTTGTTGTTGGGTGTCATCAACACAGAGAAACCCTGTGTACTGCCCAATCCGGCTCCATCTTCAACAACTGTTCTTATGTTTGAGACCATTGTTGCTGCCACTGAGCGAACCTTACTCTTTTTTGCTGCCCCTCTACTTTCCAAACATGATGTCCTTCTCCAGGGACTGGTCGCTCCTGACAAAATGTCCTACGTATATAAGACAAAGTCTTGCCAACCTTGCCTCGAAGGAGCAATCTAGCTGCACTTTTTCCAAGACAGATTTGTTTATTCTTTTGGCAGTCCAAGGTACTACTTTCAATGTTCTTCACCAGCATAACTCAAATGCATCGTGGTCTTCCTTATTCAATGCCCAACTTTCACATGCAAATGAAGTGACTGGAAATACCATGGCTTGGGTCAGGCACACCTTATGGCTTGGGTCAGACACACCTTAGTCCTCAAAATAACAGCCTTTCTTTTCAACACTTTACTGAGGTCTTGTGCAGCAGATTTACCCAAAGCAGTGTCATTTAATCTTGACCATTACCTCCATGAGCATTAATTGTGGGACCAAGGAAGACAAAATCCTTGACAACTTCAATATTTTCTCCCTTTATCATGGTATTACCTACTAATCCAGTTGTGAGGATTTTGGTCTTCTTGAGATTGAGTTGTAATCCATACTGAAGGCTGCAATACTTGATCTTTATCAGCAAGTGCTTCAAGTCCTCTTCACTTTCAGCAAGCAAAATTGTATATCATCTGCATATCAAAGGTTTTGAATAAGTTTTCTTCAAATCCTGTTGCCATATTCTTCATATAGTCCAACTTCTCTGATTATTTGCTCACCACCCAGATTGAATAAGTATAGACAGAGACTACAACCCTGATGCACATCTTTCTTGATTTTAAACCATGCAATATTCCTTGTTCTGTTTACATAACTGCCTATTGACCCATGTACAAGTTCTGCATGAGCACAATTAAGTGTTCTGGAATTCCTATTCTTCTCAAGGCTACCCATAGTTTATGATCCACATGGTCAAATGCCGTGGCATAGTCAATAAAACACAAATAAACATCTTTCTGGTATTCTCTACTTTCAACCAATAAAATCCTTCAATATTTCAACTTAAGGCTTGGGTTTTTTCTTATGTTCTTTCAGGTTGCATAATGCTGAGTGTGTTCTTTCCTTTTGTTTTTCTTAACTATAGGTCCTTGAACATTTCATCATTCTTTGCTTTCTTGAGTAACCCTTTGAAATCTTCTGTTCAGCTCTTTTACTTCATCATTTCTTCCATTTGCTCCAACTACTCTATGTTCAAGGAACTTTGGGTTATGCTTTGGGCTGCTCACCCCAAGGTCAGCAGTTCAAAACCCACCAGCCAATCCATCTTCCAATCCACAAGATAAAGATTTACATACAGCCTCAGAAATCCAAAGGGACAGTTCTACTCTGTCCTGTACGGTTACTATAAGTCAGACAACTCAATGGTACTTAGTGTACTCTAAGTTCAATGGCAAGTTTGTTTGGTTTTTTTCATTAGAAGTCTAATTTATTTTTTGTGATTTTTTTTAAAATAAATCATTTTATTGGGGGCTCTTCCATCTCTTACGACAATCCATACATTAATTGTTATCAAGCACATTTGTACATATGTTATCATCATTTTCAAAACATTTTCTTTCCACTTGAACCCTTGGTATTAGCTCCTTATTTCCCTCCTTCCCCCACCCTCACACTCTTGTGACCCCTTGTTAAATAATAAATTATTATTTTCATATCTTACACCATCTGCTGTCTCCCTTTGTCCTTGTTCAAGAGCAAGTTTAAATCTATTCTAACACACATTTTGGTCTTGTCTTTCATTCCTGTCTCTTTAATGGCGTTTTGTTTTCTTCATCTATCATATCCCACAATTCATCTTGTCTTCAGTCATCAATTTCCAATGTCAAATGTATTCCTTTTAATTAAAAAAAATGAATCTGTTTTAATGCCTAAGTTTACAACAGCAGAACTGTTCAGAGAGACAGGGCAAATTTCACTGGAGACACTGAACAAATAGGTTCTTTAAAAGGGCATCATGCCTGGTAGGGCTTGATTTAAGGGCAATGTAACCAAGAGAAATTACTGAAACCCAAATGAAGGCTAAGCATGATAGTGGGACAAGAGGAAAGTAAAAGGAAATAGGAGAAAGAACTAGGAGGCAAAGGGCATTAATAGAGGTCTAAATATGCATGTACGTATGTAAATATATTTACATGTGACAATAGAGAAATAGATCTACGTACATATATTTATAGGTTCAGTATTAAGGTAGCAGATGGACATTGGGCCTCTACTCAAGTACTCCCTGAACGCAAGAACACTTTGTTCTAATAACCTGCCATTCCATGATGCTCACCTTCCAAACATGATCGGTGAAGACAAAATGGGTGCATATGCAAATGTGGTGAAAAAAGCTCATGTTGTCCAGCTATCAAAAGATATAGTGTCTGTGGCCTTAAAGGCTTGTAGATAAACAATCCGCCATCTAGCTGAGAACCAACAAAGTCCACTTAGAAAAAGCACACACCAGCCTGTGTGATCACAAGGTGTCAATAGGATCAAAGACCCAGAACAGATAATCATATCATCGTGAATGAAGGGGTGTGCGGAGTGGAGTCCCAAAGCCCACCTTTAGACAATTGGACATCCCCTTATGGAAGGGTCACAAGGAAGAGACGAGCCAGTGTTATAGCACCGTTGAAACATACAACTTTCCTCTAGTTCTTTAACGCTTCATCCTCCCCACCCCTTATCGTGATCCCAATTCTACCTTACAAATCTGGCTAGACCAGAGCATGTACACTGGTACAGATAAAAGCTGGAAGCACAGGGAATCTAGGACAGATAAACCCCTCAGGATCAGTAACGAGAGTAGCAATACCAGGAGGGGGAGGGTAAGGTGGGGGAGAAAGGGGAAACCGACCACAATGATCTACATATAATCCCCTCCCTGAGGGACGGACAACAGAAAAGTGGGTGAAGAGAGACATCAGTCAGTGTAAGACATGAAAAAATAATAATTTATAAATTATGAAGGGTTTGTGGGGAAGGGCAGGGGGAAATGAGGAGCTCGAGTAGAAAATGTTTTGAGAATGATGATGGCAACAAATGAACAAATGTTGACACAATGATTGGATGTATTGTGATAAAAGCTGTATGAGCCCCCAATAAAATGATTAAAAATAAAAGGGCATAGTTTTTCTTCAAACAGTGATTATTGTCAAAACTTTCCCCACAATTCAAAGCACACTGCAGACACACCAGATTACCTCTCATTGTGAAATGTTGACATCAGGCCTGCAGTGGAAGGAGGCAGAGGAGGCAGTAGAACATTGGGGATTGAAAGGGTCACTTCCAGGCCAGTCAGCTGACTATGAAGGAGGAGGATCCACTGGCATTGGCCCCAGACCAACTCACAGGGTAGCTGACAAAGCAGGAGGGCACAGCACCCCCAAGTCTGACAAAGCTCAAAGGGTATGAAAACAAAAGATCTTAACAACAGATACAAAGGTAAAACAAAAACAAAGTAAAATAGAAAGCAAGCCAGGTGCTGTGCACAAGTCCAGCATGAGCATGTGTGTGTGTTGGGGGGGGTCAGGGAAGAGAGGAGAGGGAGAGAGATAAAGGAGTGATGGAGTGAATGGGTGAGTGAGAGAAAGAGAGAGAAAGAGAGAGAAAGAGAGAGAGAGATGGGAACAGCGCAAAAGTTCTCATGGGACCATTATGTTCAACAAGATACAAAACATTTTATTTTTAATCACCAAAAATAATGTTTTACAGAAAAGCAGCGTTAAGAGGCCAATGACTAGCTATACATTTTCTTGTTGCCATCAGTACAACTTCAAGTTTACACATAGAACCAGAGACAGAGACATACGTAGTGGCAGGTTCGATGTGTAAACTCAAGTTTGTTGGGCAGAGTGAAGTGTCCAATCTTGTTCACCAAAAGGAAGTCTGCAAAGCAATGTTATTACGTATGACTTTTTTTAAAAAAAAGTTAATTTCTAACAAAAAAATGCAAATCCTAATTTTTCTCTAAATCGGGCTAATGCTTCAGAGGCCTTGACGCTGCTCCGCTGACACAGCCGCTGTCTGAGTGTTGTCTCGGGTGAC